CAGTGGGAAGCCATTCCCTGTGTCCTGTCCCTCCATCCCTTATCCCAAGTCCCTCTCCAGCTCTCCTGGTGCTCCTGTAGGTTCTCAAAGCTCTCCCTGGAACCTTCTGTCCTCCAGGCTGAACGCCCCAGCTCTCTCATTAGCAGTTCTTCAGTTAATTTTACTTTAGTGCCACAAATATTATGTCTGATATTAGGAATTATTTGAGTTTGGAGAGAGGTTTGTCCCATCCCCCTTGTGGCAAATAATTCGGCTTCTATTTCCCTAAAATCCCAGCAAGTTCCAACACAAGTAGGAGGATTCATGCTGTGACAAATTATCTGTAAATCTGATTATTGCAGCTAAACAAGAGGCGTTCCTTCAGTTGGTTTCTTGCTGGATTCAACAAGGAAAGAAATTTCTGCAGAATTTTCCCCTGGGTTGGTGATAGTGATTTTCCTTGGGGAGATGTGAAATTCAAGTTGGTTTTAATGAGTTCAGAGCATTTGTAGATCAAAGAATGGAGCCTTAAATGACTTTATTGTTGCACTGAAATGCTTCAGGTGAAGTTAGGTCTTAGTAGACTGAGAGGTAACTGGACCCATTTTTGTCCCAAACTGTTCTCTTGAAGTTTAATCTCAATTTTCTTTCCTCTTGAAGCACAAACTGAATGGAAAGCACGTCCTGGTATGGAATCACCCCAGTTTGTTGGTCAGAATTTCTATCAGTCACAGGCTGGAGTTTTTGGATTTAAAACACCAACTGTCGCTGCAGCATCGCTCGGGTTCAAATCACTTTTCCTTTCCTCCAAATATTTTGGGGCCAAGTCATTTGCCATGAACTCCTTTGCAATGTGTGAGCACTGATTTCCAACCCAGGGCAATTCTGGGGATGTTTTTGGCCGGTCAGGGGTGGCCAGATTTGCTTCCTGGCTTCGTATTTTATGTTAATCAAATGATAAAAAAAAAAGTAAAGCTCTTAATTATGAATTTTTATCAGTCCACAGAGCTATTCCTGTTCATCTGGAAAAGCAGGTGGATTGTTTGGATCCTTCAAATGGTGAAAAAGCAGGATAGGGGGGGCTGTGCTTTCCCAGGTATTTATTCAGGTCAGATAAACACGAGCTTTGTAATATTCTTTGGGATTAACGTAATTAATTATCTGATTTAACTACTTAAGCGTACTCTGTTATTCCTAAAAATATAAAATATCCTTGAAAGAAGTGTATGGTTTGGGAATAGTGGCTGGAAAGCTGGAAAAGGAGATGGAGGGTGCTGGTTGGTGGTGGCTGAATGTGAGCCCAGGTGGAGGTTTAGGTTGGATATTGGGAAAATTCCTTCCTGGAAAGGGTTGTCCAGCCCTGGCACAGCTGCCCAGGGCAGGGATGGATCCCCATCCCTGGAGGGATTTCAAATCCCTGTGGATGTGGCACTTGGGGACAGGGGTCAGTGCTGGGGGATGGTTGGACTGGATGATCTCAGAGGGCTTTTCCAACCCCGGTAATTTTGGGATTCTTTGTCGTGGAAGTGGGGATTTGACTTGGCAGCTGAGCTGAGGTTCTGCCCCATTCCTGGAGAAGTTTCTCCTCATTCCCAGCAGGAGCCACACAGAGCTTCCCTGCCTCATCCTCTGGTACAAAATCAGAGTTTTTTTGAGGGTGGAGAAACGAATCTTTTCCCATCATTGAAACTTAATTAAAAATCCCTCCCTGCTAAGGAATTGCTGCCATGTTNTGGGGGATGGTTGGACTGGATGATCTCAGAGGGCTTTTCCAACCCCGGTAATTTTGGGATTCTTTGTCTTGGAAGTGGGGATTTGACTTGGCAGCTGAGCTGAGGTTCTACCCCATTCCTGGAGAAGTTTCTCCTCATTCCCAGCAGGAGCCACACAGAGCTTCCCTGCAGTTCCTCTGCCTCATCCTCTGGGACAAAATCAGAGTTTTTTTGAGGGGGGAGAAACGAATCTTTTCCCATCATCGAAACTTAATTAAAAATCCCTCCCTGCTAAGGAATTGCTGCCATGTTTTTCCTGGATCCAGGACCAACAAGAGCCATTTCCAACCCAGCTTTGACTGCAACTGGATGAATGAAGTCCTGGGAGCACATTCCATGAGGCTCTGAGCAAACAAAGCATGAACAGTGATGAGCCCAAATTGCCCTGGACACTCCTTGGGCAGCTCTGATGGCATTTCCAGCCTGGGAGAAGGGAATTGGGGAAATTCCCTTTAATTTTAATCCAAGCTGGGCTTTCATTTTAATCTGTGTGTGAGGCCCAGAGCTCAGCTGGGCTTTGCAGGAGGAGAATTCCAACAGGCAGGGAAAACCACCATGGGAAACCATTTGTGGGGCTTGGGGAGAAATAAACTGAATTTTCCTTTTTTTTTTTCCTTTCCTCCCTTTTTCCTTTTTCCCCTTTTTTCCTTTTTTCCTCTTTCCCCCTTTTTTTCCCTTTTTTCCCTTCATCTCTTTCCCCCCTTTTTTTCCTTTTTTCTTTTTTTTGCCTTTTTCCCTTTTTTCTTTTTTTTCTCTTTTTTCCCCTTTCCCCCTTTCCCCCCCTTTTTTCCTCTTTTTCCTCTTTTTTCCTTTTTTTCTGTTTTTTCCCTTTTTTCCCTTCTTTCCTCTTTTTTCTCCCTTTTTTCCCTTTTGTCCCTTTTTCCCTTTTTTCCTTTTCCCCCCTTTTTATTTCCTTTTTTCCTTCTTTTTCTTTCATTTCCTTTTTTCCTTCTTTTTCCTTTTTTCCTTTCTTTTTCCTTTTTTCCCTTTTCCCTTTTTTCTTTTTTTCTTTTTTCCTTTTTTCTTTTTTCTTTTTCTTTTTTCTTTTTTCCTTTTTTTTATTTTAGCTTTCTTTCCCTTTTTTCTTTTTTTTTCCTTTTTTTTTCTTTTTTCCCCTTTTTTGTGAGGTGTTTTTGTCATTTTTTTTCTGGGTTTTTTTGTGTTTTTTGATTGGATGGTTTAGTTTGTGGGTTTTATTGTGGTTTTGCCTTTTTTGTTTGTTTTGTTTTTGCTTGTTTTTTATTTTATTTTGGGGTTTTTTTGTTGTTGGTTTTTTTCTGTTTTGTTTTCTTTGTTCCCTGCAATTATATTATCCAAAAACATGACAAGCCCTTCTCTGGTAACAGTCTCATTAATTTTTCATAGAATTTCTACAATTCTAAAATTAACAAATACTTGTTTCTTCTTCTTATGGGAGCAAGTTTTGATTTCCACCTTGGTCCTGCTGATCATCCACAGAGAACTGACCCGTTGATGAGTCCTTTGTCCTTTTAATTTTCCATCTCCCCAAAAGGATTTTTAAATTTAAACTGTTGCTGCACAAAAAAGAGCTTTATTTCGAGATGCCTCTTTTGCATCCTGGCTGTTCACAGAAATAACAACAAGAGTTATTATTTTTATCCTGGCTTTGTATTTTGGGCTGTGATATTTTAGTGAGGACAGTCTTTACCTTAAAGACAAATCCAGATTAAACCACTGGCCATGCACTGATTTTTTTTTTTAACTGAAAAGTGAAATAACACTCAGTGTCTTTTTATAATCAGAAAAACATTGGGAAGAACATTATGAAGGAAAAAAAATCAACAAGAAACTGTGTTTTCTTGTCTTCTGGAGGCAGGAATATTGAGGTCAGAGCATCTGGTGTGCAGGTTTGGAGTTCACTTTCCAACCCCACAGTGGTTGTGCCCTGCAAGGGAATTTTCAACTTCGGAGTATTTCAATATATTTAATTAAAAAAACCTCTTTGGGGCAGCTTCTCTACCAAGTTACAATCGATATTTAAAGTGAATATGACCATAAAAAGTGTTCCAGAGTGACAGAAATCTAAGCATTGGCTCATTTTGTGTATATTCCTGATTTTTGGGATGTGGCTGTTGCTGGGAGGAGGGATTTGTGTTCGTGTTCACGATGCCAGAAATGCCGTTTATCAATTTAAAAACCCAACAAGTGAGGCTGGAAGTGACTTTAATCTCCCTGAAAAGCTTTTGTGGGTGCAGATTTCCCTTGAATCCCCGAAATAAATGCTGTTGCTTCCCGAAAGAGTTAAATATCCTGTCCTGGGGGGAGATTGATAGTCAGAGGAAATAGGAGGTACCTGGAAAGAACTTCTGCTCCCGAATATTGCCAAGCTGCCTTTCCCTCCGCTTTGTTATCCTTCCCCAGGCTCCCTAATCATTCCCCTTTGCCTCCAACCACCTCCCAGTTTCCTGTTTGCCTCTTCCCCTCTGGTTTTCCTCCCGAATATTCTGGGTTTTTCCCTGCCCCGTACCGGGGGAGCTCGGGGAAGGATGAATGCCATCGCCGTGTTCACGGTGGCCATTCTCTTCTGTGTCTCCTGCCTCTTTGCAGCTCTGGGTGTAAGTTCCTTAGCCAAGGGAGGTTTTTTGGCTCTCTCTGGAACGTTGCTGGAAGTGTAAATGTTGAATTTTCGGAGCAGTAATTAAAGGTTTTCGCTTTTAATTAAGATTATTCGCGGCTCCGCCTCCTAATTTTTCGAACTGGTGTTTTCTCCGGAGAATTTTCCTTGGAACATTGTTGGGAGAATGTTGCTTGCCCAACTTCGTTTTTGGGATGTATGTTTTCAAAACAATGTGAATTTATAATTTGTTTTCCCTTTTCCCCTCAGAATATTTCAGTTCTTTCTTGCAAAAACCGTTCAAAAAAAAAAAAAGAAAGGGTGAATTGACTTAACCAAAGATACATTTTATTGTAAAATTTTATCCTTTTTAATATCTTGAAATAGGAGTTTTCTTTTCAGTGAGTAACAGAGGACATTTGCTTTTCTCTTGCAGATTGCATTCTCACAGCACAGCAACTTTATGGACCTGGTGCAGTTCTTTGTGACATTTTTCAGGTACTTTTCATTTAAGACACTTAAAATGTTTCTTTGGGTTTTGATTTTCAGTGTTCGGTTTGGTTTTTCCCTTAAGCATCCTGCTGCAGCACAGCCTAAAATAAATGGGAATATCTGCTTTATTTGAAGTGTTTGATTAGGAAATAGGAGAAGGAAATGAATCTTTGTACTGGGCTTGCAGGGAAAGGGGATTTTGGGGGCTGGGAGAGGCTTCTGGAAGGGGAGAAGTTCCTTTTCAAATGGTTTGGAAAACGCTGTGTGACTTCCCCCATGGAAGAGCTGATGTGTGATGTGCTGCAGGTATTCACACCTTGTCCCACACCCAGCAGGAATTAAGGATGTGGATTTTGCAGGGAGTTATCCTGGAGTAAATTCCTCCCCTTTCAGCACCACCTTTGGATTTCAAACCGAACCCGTAAATATGTCAAGTTAAACACAAACACGTGTTACAGCACAAAAGGAGCCAAAGCCTTCTGTCCTTCAGGCACTGCTTGAAGTTCCTGTCTGGGTGGGAAGTGCTCTGAGGATTCCCTTGGAGCTGGAACCAACAGGAGCCATTTCAATATTTGTTTTCCATCCTCCAAAACCTCCAGCCCTGACAGTGCCTCCCAAAGCACAGCAGGTCCTCTTTTCAAGGCCTCCAACCCAAGGTGTCAACTCTATTTTGGGAGCTGTTAATCCTCCAGGAGTGTAAACCAACCCCTGATGGATGAGGAGCCCTTCAGGAGGGATATCCATGGAGTAAACACCACTCCAGGTCTTACAACCTGTTCCTGAGTAGGGATTGTTGTGCCTGGTGTAAAACGAGCAGTGGGAATAATCCCTCACTTCAGATTTCATGCTAAATTTAATTAAAGCAAGGAGCTCCAGATGGGTCCTTCACACAAGAGGTTTATATCATTTTTTTTTTATTTTTTTTTTCATATGGAGCTTCCAGAGAGTGGAATCTGCTTTAGTGCAGTCCCTGGGAACAGCAGGTTGGAGCCACCACCTTCCTGCTGTTTGTAAGCAGTGAGTGGTTACTCCTGGCACACACACTGGGTATTTGTTTTGCTCAATTCAGCACAGTCATCTTCCCTAAAAAAATCTTTGTGGCAGCATAATTAGTTATAAGGAGATCATAATCAATTATAATCAACAATCAGGATTATTGACTATAAGGAAAATAGGGAAGCAGTTGGTTCTTTAGTTCCTTTTTAGTGCCATAAAATCAGTCTGCAATTAAAACTGCCCTTTAGTTCTGTACAGACCCAGATCCAGCTGAGGGTTTGAACTCCTCCACAGGAGTGATTCCTCCAGATCCATTATTGGAAAAGAATCCCAAAGAAGGTGCTCCATCCCTGGAAGTGTTCAAGGCCAGGCTGGAGCAACCTGGGCTAGTGGAAGGTGTTCCATGGCAGGGAGGTTGAACTGGATGGGCTTTAAGGTCCTTCCCAACCCAAACCATTCCATGATTCCCTGATTTCAGCACTAAAACATCTCCACAGCTCTTAAAGACTCCTACAGTGCCTGCTTCTTTATAAATTTAACCAGGATCTCAGAGAGGTTTGTTTGGCCTCTCTCATTTTAAGAGCTACACATCCCAAATCACTTCCTCCACGTTTCCTCTAAATATCCAGACCTGACATTATTGCTCTGGAACAGCCTGACCCTTTTTCTGCAAACACAAATCGTTCAGACAAGCATTGTAATGGCTCTTTTATTTCCCTTTTCCAGAGGGACTGGATTTTGCAGTAAAAATCCAATGCTCCCCTGTTAACTCAAAAGCACCTTTAGGTGCTGTTTTGTTAAAGAACCACAGAATGCCTGGAGTTTGGAGGGATCCACGAGGATCAGCAGGTGCAGCTCCCTGCTCCTCCCAGGAACGTGCATTATCCAGGATTGGGGATCTGAGACCTTCAG